TCCCGCCGGGAAGCAGCTGGTCCCGGAGGGCACCGGGCACTTCTCCTCGCTGACGGCTCTGCGGGGAAGGGGCGCCGTGTCTCGCCGGGCTGCCAGCGCCACTCGCAGCCCCGGCGCGGTGCCAGAGGCTCCCACCGCCTTCCCTCGCCTTCCCCCCGCCGGCGGCCGGGTGAATGGGCCGCGTCTCTCCCGGTGTGCGCTGTCCTGCGGCGCGGCACCACCCCGGGCAGCGCCGGGCTCGGAGCGGCAGCCCCGGCCCCCTCGGGGTCAGTCCGGCCCCTGGAGCGGGGGCTCTGCGGGGGCTTTCCTCGGGCACGCCGGGCTCCGCGGGGGGCCCTGGGAATGTGACGGCGCTAAAGCGGTGGCGAGGAGGGGACTGCAGAGGAGAGTTAGGCGGGGAGCGCGGCGCTGCCAGGCGCTGTCCCGGCAGGGCTGTCCTGAGTACGGGCGAGCCCGGCGGAAAGGCGCCGCTCCGCTGTCGGAAACTGCTCCATCAGGGAAAGTACAAGACTGGAGTGTCAGGGTCGTTTCTCGTCCCCGTTCCTGAGTTTGAGACTTCAGCCAGGGGTGGTCAGAAGAGGTCTTTCCCCTTCACCTGAAAGACCAGGTATTGATTTCTTCCTGTGGAGACACACGGGAAAGACAGAATAACCAAGCGGAAAGGGAAGGAGGTAATGGAAGCCAGCCTGTAGCTGTATGAACAGAACTGCGTTTGTTTTGCTCTGAGGCTGCCGGTTGGACCGCTGAGCTGGGAGGGCAGCAGAGCACGGCGGTGCCTTGGGATGCACTGTGCTGCTGGCAAAGTCCAAACTGGTCCGGAAGGATAGTGCTTTTAGCCCTGAAGTAATTCTCTCTGGCTCTGCTATTTGTAGATAGGCTCTATTAAGTTGCCCAGGTGATGTCTGTGTGCATACCTTTACTGGCTTTCTCAAAAGCAACCATTCTTTCAGATTTCTGTCTTTACAGGGTGTTAGAATAGCTGACATTTTAAAATAAAACAAACTGCTGGAATCTAAGACTGTGAAAAAAAAAAACAACTGAAATTGATGCATGTATAGAAAGTAACTAGAAATACTGTCAGTGAGGTGGGTGAATATGAGACCAATCCCGAGTTGTTCTAGACATACAATGCTTGTTGTGGCTTTGGTTTTTCAAAATGAATCTCAGTAACTAGATCTCATTCCTGTAGGCATTATCATGACCTCTTAAAGTTTGTTGATATCATATCTTTATGAGTTTTTATCTCATGTAGAGCAGAGGTGGATAGCCACAAAGACTTTCAGATTGGAAGCTCTTCATGGAAGTGGTGGGGGGTTTTCAGATGTTTTCAGACTTCTGAAATGTAGACTGGTGCAGCAGCAAGAAAATATATTTGTCATCTGAAGCCTCATGATAACATCTGAGTGCTTCCACCCCTTCCTGTATTCATCTTAACGGCCTTAATAAATAAGAAAATGCAATCATCTCTGTTTTATAGAAGAAACTGAAGGATGGCACAGCTATGGCACAGCTATTATGACAAATTATGTCATAATTTGACAATTATGACAAAAAGCTTGGTTTTAGGTTTTAGTCTAGTAGCTTCTGCCACTAGACTAGTGACTCTGATTTTGCTTGTGAAATGACAAAGAAGGGGCAGCAGGGCACATGAGAAGAAAGAACTGTTGAAAGGCTGTAAACTACAATATAAGTAAAGTTAACCTGACTTTAGCATTCCAGACATCTGTTCTGATTCTGCAGCTATTTGAGGTGATAAATGACCTACACAGATAAATCCGAATGTAGCTATACCATAGTAATGTGCAGTTTTCAAGCATTTGCCTGAGTAAGCAGCAATTGCTCAAGATAGTTTGCAAATCAGGGATTTTTGATTAGACCTTAGAAAAAGTCTCAGACATTGCTTCCAGCTGATTGTAATGGACACCTCAGTGCCTTTGAAGATGTCACTGTGTGCCTGAGCAGGCTGAGCATGCTTGGTCTGCTTATTTTGTTTAAGTGAGTATTTTGTTAAAAGATAAAAGACCCCTCGTGTAAGAACTCCAGCATGACAAAATAGTGTTTTGAGACCTCTGACAATTTGTTAGGCCTGTTTCTTACAAAGCAAGTTGAACCCTTTTCTCTGACGAACTTTTCCCTGAGATCATCAGTGGGGCTCTAAATTGCAAGCAAGTGTGTGATGTGGCTTAGAGGAAAGACAGCAAAGCTGCATTTCTGCACTGGCCCTGTGCCAGACCACCTGTTTGTAAACTCAGAGCAATTGTTCTTAGTAAAATTTCACTGCTGGAACTGGTGCTGGCTGCTGCTCTGCTTCACTCCCACCAGCTGCAGAGCCACTGTACCTCCTGCTCCACATCTGCAGGCAAAAGCATCACACACACTTGGCCCAGCATCCGTCTGTGAGTTTATCCGACCTCCACCCTCTCTGGCTGGAACCAGGGCAGGGGGCAGCAGTCAGCAGTGTTTATGCAGGTTTGTCTGATTTTCCTGCTGTGAATCCAGGGAATAATCTTTTTTTTCAGGGCAAGAGCAAAAGTGCTAGCCCAGGCAGACTGTTTGGTAGATATTCTTCTGTAAGCTTTAATCCCACAGCCCCTACAAGTATCCATAGCTAAGGTTAAATAGAGCAGACAGCCACAATATTTGCAGGTGACAGTGGACGTGCTGTCCCCACCGCATGTGCATTTTGCAAATAGACCTCTTCTGCTGGAAACACAAACTACTTGCAATGAGAGTGATCCCAAAGTCCATGCAATACTGTACCAGAGGATTAAACTCTTCACTCTTCAGTACCTTCTTGTCAATCTGGTCTAATTTGGTTCTACTGAATTTCAGCCAGAGACCGCCCACATATTACAGGGCTGTTCCTCTTTTGACTAATAATGGCTCAGCTGTGTCTCACTGACATATTGCTAACTGAAGGCCAGTCTCTTCCATACCCCGTATTATAGAAGAAATTTACCTTCGATCCCAAAATTAGTCAGCATGCATGCAAAAAAACCCAAACAAACCACCACCACCAAAAACCCAGCAAACCCCAAGCAAACAAAAAACCCAGCCAAACAAAAAACCCCCAAAACAACAAAAACACAGAATGCCCTAAATAACAATAAAAACCCAACCAACCAACCAAAACCAAACAACAAAAAACCCTCCAACAACAAAAAACCCAAAACAACAAGAAGAAAAACCGAAGAAAACACAAAAAAACCTAACCAACCAACCACAAAACAAACCAAAACCGTTTAAGAAGATCTTCTGAAAGATCAAGGCATAAAAGCAGGTTCTGATTATCAAACCCACAGCAATTGCATTAAAATAGCCTTTCTTTATAATTTCATAATTATGGCTCCAGAGTAATTTATGATAGATAAATATGCAGCACCTAGCAAGTCCATGGTAACAGAGGCAATTACTCATCCATACAGCATTCCAGCAATTATGTTGCATTTTATTAAGATAACTCTGCCCTGGACATTGAAACTGGCTTCTGATTTATGTTTCACCACTCCCTTTTTGCATTCTGAGTCAAGAGCATAAATGTCTTTGAGGCCTTTATGAAAGTCCCTTAACCGGTGTTAGGGTGACCACCTCACTCCTATTCCCTTTGTTCTGCCACAGAAGATTCCTTGCTGATTTTTTTTCCTGCTGTAATGAGGATCTGCAGTCATTGACCAGCACTGCTTCAAGACAGAGGTAATGCTCTGATGCACCTGGCATAGGTGACCTTTGCGCCTGAGGAGTGGTCAATGAGCTGTGCTACCATTGACCCACACAGTGCCCAGCGCCTCACCAGAGTGAGCACAGCTGGCCTGCCATGCCCACGGCTGGGCAGGGATGCCCTCTCACTGACACGGGGGCTGCCAAGCAACTTTTCTGCAGGTCCCATTAGGTCTGACCCCCTTCCTGCTGGTGCCCCCCATCCCCTCATGCGAGCAGTGGGAGCTGCTGGTGGCACCAGGGCACCGTCCTCCTCAGGGACGCTGGGACTGAAGGGACGAGGGAGCTGCTGAGCGGTCAGTGAGGCTGAGGGGCTGGTGGGTGGCTGAGGAGGCTGAGAGGTAGCTCAGGGGGATGGTGGAGGCTGGGGGCTGTGGGATGGCAGGGGCAGAAGGGAGGACTGAAGGGATTGGGGTGAGGGCTGGGGACACTGATGGCTGGCAAGGGGCTGAGGGGACCAGGGAGGGGCTGAGGGCACTGGGGTGTGGCCTGAAGGCCCTGAGGGGACTGCAGGGAACTGATGACATAAATACTCAAAAGGCATATTGTTTGCAGTATCTCAACTGAAACAAGAAAAACTGAGACCCATTGGTTGAAGTTTCATAAACCATAAAAAAGTTTCCTGACCCAGGAGACAAATTGTTCAACCAAGCCAGCAGGACATGAACCAACTCTGGAGTCATGTTCTCAGGCGACTTGTGACCGTGAAAGGATAAAGTGAGGTGGGGGCTATTCCCCAAATGACCACCAGAGACCCTCTTGAGACCATTCCCCAAACTGTATGAGCATGCCCAATTATTAAGGCGTACAGCTTTATCTATGTAAATGATTCCTGAGACGGGGGAGGGGGGAGAATTCCGGGAATTTAGATGAATGTATATATGGTTTGCCTAGATAAATGAAGCTTTGAAACGTCGAATGCATGTGTTAGGAGTAATTCTTGCTGAAATAAAGTAACGCCTGCCTTCTAATACTGAAATTAGTGTTAGAGAGTTTTATTCTTCCCGACATTTTGGTGACACTGGGGGCACTGGGGGGTGGGGTGGGGACACTGAGGGCACTGACCGGGGGGCACTGGGGTGATGGGTGGGGCTGAGGGGACCGGGGGCACTGAGGGCACCTGGGACTGCGGGACGCGAGGCCGAGGGGCCCGGCGGGGCCGGGCCGGCGCCGGCACGAGCAGCGCACCGTGCACCCGGCGCGTGCCGGGGCGCGGCGGTGGCGGAGCCGCCCTCGCGCGGCGGCCGTTGTCGTTGCCGGGGCGTTGGGCGCCCGCCCTCGCGTGTCGCGACAGTTGCCGACAGGCGCGATGGCGGAGCCGCTGCTGCCCGCTGGCTTCCGCTCCGGCTCCACAGCCCTCTGGCCTTACCTCTTTCCCGCTGCCTCCCGGCCCTGCACCTTTCCCGCCAAGCTGTGGCTGCTGGTGAATAATCCCCGCGTCCGCTCCGTGCGCTGGGATGCCCGCGGCGAGGGGCTGTTCATCGACCAGGCGCTCTTCGAGCGGGAGCTGCTGGGCGGGGGGCCCGGCGCTGCCGGGGAGGCGGAGGTCTTCAAAACCAAGAACTTCGGCAGCATCATCCGCCAGCTTAACCTGTACGGGTTCCACAAGCTGACGATGGGGCCGCCTGGTCCCGCGCTGGGGCAGAGGCTGGGGCCGGCCGCGGCGGGGGACAGTCCCGACAGCCCCGATGGGCCCCGGCACCACTTCTGGAACCCCCACTTTCGCCACAACCGCCCCGACCTCCTGGTGAGGATCAAGAGACTCACGAAGGCCAATAAGGAGAAGCTGGACGCTGGCATGAAAGTGCCCAGCCGCCTGCTCGACGACTTGCAGCACATTGTTGGGAAGGGACTTGTTCCTGTCGCCCTCGACCCTCGGCGAGTCCAACGGGAGCGGTGAGACCGGGCGGGTCACCGGGGCGCGGTGGGTGAGAGGGTGGCATGGGCTTAGGAAATCGGCACTGCCCTGGGGGAAAGGGCTTGCCTGCCCTTGCTGCTGGCTGCTTAATTCACATGGTGTAGGAAAAATGTTGCTCTTACGGGGGGTTGAGCTGCTGCCAGTAAGCAAAGGGGAATGTAATTATAGATTCCTACAAATGCACTGCCTATATATATACACAAATATCAACATATCTATCTGAATATCCAAATAGCTATAGCTGTATATTTCACAGGTTCTGTTTGTATTATCTGCAATAAATGACATGGTTCATGTGTGTTTCAGTGTGCCCATAGACTACAGCACCAGCAGGGACCTAAAACTAATATACATGCCAAATTGTCGCTAGATAAAAGGTGCAACATGCATCCTTCGGTATGTTTAAAATCTTAATTTTTTTTTTTTTTTCAAAAAAAGTTACCCAAAGCAGCACAAGTTCCTTGTGCCTTGAAAAAGAAAAGAGGCCAGTCAAAAGAAAATTCTGCAACAGTTCTGCTTTTTGCATCTTGTATTTTCAGCTGTGGGAAACTGTATACAACATAGAGAAGAATGGAAAGGAGAAAGGAAGACTTTGAGATCTACTTTAGGAAGACACTAGTTTTCAACGAACTCAAAACAAATTCAGGAAAAAAGTTTAAAGAAAAGTCATGAGTTATCTCAATAAAAGTGTTGCGTGAGCTATTATTCAACACATACTGGTTTTCTAAAATTTAAATTGTTAAGTAACTAGGCTAACATGTGGCCTACCTTAAGTATCTGAAAGACTATTTTCAGCTTTCATCCAACGAAAAGTTCCCCAGCCCAGGATGTGACACATAGTAACACAGTTACCTGACCCAGCACTGGGATGGCTGAGGATGGGCTGAGACTGATGTGACATTGGTGCCCTGCGCTGGCACAACAGGGGGAAAGAGATGAGGCAGTCTACAAGATTTTCCTGATCTTGGAATGGGAATGAGCTCAGAGAGCCAAAAGAGTTTTTGTAAAGCTTGTGCAAAAGGCTGTGTGTGATTCACATCGTCAAGGGAGCTGTTTCTCTGAAATATGTATGGATTGGCTGCAGCCAGCATCGCCTCACTGCGCTCTGCTCCACACAGGTAGACAGTTCCTACCCAAAGTCCTCAGTTCCTACAAAAAGTCCTCATCTCTCTCTGCTAAGACCGTATCATGATAGTGAGGGGCAAATGAAACTAAGTAAGCCCCTCAAACCTGTAAGGCTTTTGTTAGAGGCTTAGGTACAATAGCCAAACAGGCACTTAATTCACAGGCATGAGATGTCCTTCCATGAGTTTGCAAATCACTGAGTCCTGGTGTTACCTAAGGGTGCCGTGGGTCCTCCAGATCTCACAGTTGTTGTGCCAGACTCAGAAAGAAAAGCTGGGGCGAATTATATAAAATTAATGTGTTCATGGCAGATACTGTTAGAGAAGATTCTATGGCTTGTATGATTCTGTATGGGGTTTAGACAAGATGATCATAATGCTGATTTCTGGGCTCAGCTCCCGTGAATTAGAGCCAAAAACTACATGGATGAGGTTCTTTAAATACAGCTTTAGAGGTCTGTTTAGAAGTCTTGTTGCAACAGAGTTCATCAGTTGTAAGTCACTGACCTGTTTTTTTCTTTCCTTCTGGATATTCTCATAGTGGACATAAATGAAAAACTTTTAGCCAACACCGTCTTTCTACTTTCTGCCTGGTGTGTCCATGGCAACCCCTTGTGTGAGGAAGATGAACGAATGAAATTATCACGAACCATAGTTACGTGCATCTGACATGGTGAGGCATTTTAAATACCTCAAACACACTTTTCTCTTCTGTGGGAGGTACTCGTACCTTAATTGTACTTAATGCAGACATATATTCTAAAGCAAAGAGGGAGGGAAGGAATTGGGAGGGTTCTGTGTCAGCCAAGCTTTTAAAAAGCACACCAAAACAACAACCCAAGCACACCGACAACTGTGAAAATTGCATGTCTGTATGTAGACAGAGGCATACCATGAACAGTTGATATAGCCAGAAAACTGTTGCCAACTTTTCCAAGTTTAGAAGACCCAAATATCTGAGAACATAAAAAACCTTCAGTTAATTTTTTTTCACAGCATATTCTGAGTTGGAAGGGACCCATAAGGATCATTGAGTCCAACTCCTAAGTGAATGGCCCATACAGGGATCAAACCCACAATCTTGGCGTTACTAGCACCATGCTGTAACCAACTGAGCTAATCTCAGGTTTTGCTTATCAATGGAGCAGTCATGGTGTTGCCCTGGAAACTAGTCTTCATTTAATCTGTATTCTGTATTTGAATTAAGATGTTTATAACCACCAAACTAGCTAATGTACAGTCTACACTGTTTCAGGTTTTCCACCTCCCCGGACCAAGAATGGAAATGTAGATAGCAAATGCATGTGGATAAAGGACTTGACACTTTGATAATCTCTGTGCAGGAAATTTCCAGTGGCCAAGATGATGTGTGGTTGTATTTTCTCTCTGGAAAAGAAGTGGAAGTTGGATGAGCAACACCACAGAAAGACAAGGGAGATTGGGAGAACCTTGTCAGGCTTGCGAAGGAAGAATCTGGGACATACCTACACACCACACTATGAAGAAGCAGAAGCAAAACTCACACCTGGATGTCTGTAACAGGCAAAGCTACTTAATTTAGACAAAGATGCCAGCAGGGATGAGAGAAACATGAAGGAACATTCTTAAGTGCCAGCAAAGAAGTTGGTTATATACTCTGACTTACGGAATAGTCTGTCCCTGACCTGACCAGCTGTCTGCTGCAGGTCCATGCATCACGGTCAGACTTAGAGCAGAGAGAGCATTGTCTCAGTGACATTTTGGCTCTACTTGAAGTCAGTGGCCAAAATACTACAAGCCTCAAAAAGGTTAATTCTCACCTTCAATCTGTAAACCATCTAGAAGCCATTTATAAAATACAACTTCTTAAATTGTTGGACTGCCTTTAGTGCTTTCACTGCCATGTCTGCATGGCATTAAAGTACCATAAAATCCAGCTGATGGAAGGATTACTGCTGACAAAAGGAATGTAAACTTCACCAAGATCTGATTGTCCCACTCTAGAATAAATAAAGCATAATGGCACTGTCATCTTTGTTTTTTTTCCTGAAATGTAAAAATCACAACAGCAGTTCTGTTTCTGTAGAACACACTTGGAATTCCACACTTGAAATTCCAAATGTTCATTAGCTTTAAATCTCTTCTTAGAAGCAGCCACACTAGAACACTGCCTCCAGCAATAGGTGAGGCATTTTCAGAGAAAGTTTGCACTTTGCACTTAGCAGATGTTGAGAGACACTCTTTTTTATCAGTACTGATAACCAAATATGAGGCGTAATTAAAAAAAAACAGTCAAAGAAAGACTGACTAATATTTACAGGTTTGAATTAGGCTTAAATACATTACTGTGGGTTTTAAGAACCTATTAATAGGAATGAAACTACAGTACTTTGCCATTTTTCTGTAAAACAGGGTTTTTAAAAATTCTGATAAAATATATGATGAAAAAGAAAAAAAAGGCTAACAAGCTGTAGTAAACTTTCATGTATGAAGATTGTATTCAGCCAGTTTAAAGTGTGTATTTCTTCATCATGGATTGTAACAGGTATATTTTTGTGTTTTCTTGTGACTGTTTCTTTTCCCCTTAAAGCAACAAATATTTCATTTGTAATGCTTATTTTATTATAAGCTCATAGAAAAAAACTATACAATATATATTAGATTCTGCAGAAAATGAAAAGTTCTGTAATATATTGTACAAATGTAAAAAATGTATCAGAAATAAAATGTCAGTTTGTGAATCCCTGATTTTGTTTCTAACAGTTTAAGCATCTGTAGTGTCTTTATGACAATGAGGTCAAGCTACAGAATCATTTTATTAAGTGATTAATTCAAATCCATCCTCTTTTTCAGCAGAAAGTGAAAGCACGGCCCATTGTTACAGCAATGTCCGTCAAAACAAAGCAGAATTTTTATTCCTATTCATTATGGTAGCTTGAAAATGCTAAAGCAAGTTACTGAAGATATTTGCTGACTCCTGATATTGACTGCCTCAAGTTCACATTCAGTGGTATTGAAACTGGATTAAAACTTTTAGAGCTCTGCTTACATTGTGTCTTGACCAAAATAGTTACACCTGCAAAATGACAGATTACTGATGAGACTGATAAATAACAAATGATAAGCTTTGAAAACATTGGCTCTGTTAAGAATTACCAGTGAGCTGGGACTGACAGGAGTAATTTTAATAATTTCAGTAAGGTTACTCAGAGGATATTTACATCTGTTTAAGTTCAGCAGTATCAGAGCCTTAATAGTTCAGTTCTGAGAATAGCTGAGAGTGCAGATGATCTGCGTATGCTGAGAGGAAGCACACCTTGCTTGAAGGGTCTTCATTCCTCTTGTCTCCCTTTACTTAGTCTGCACTGTTGCTTGTATGTACTTATGACGGGGTAGTTCCTACCACGCTGCAGTCTTCTTGCTGGCACAGGGCTCAAACTCTCTCTCTAGAATTGTTCCTGGAGGCTGTATGCCTTTTGCTGAGCTTCAGTGACGATGAGTCTATGCAGTGGGCCAGCTGAATGCTTGTCCAGAATCATTTGGATGTGTTTTGATTGTTCAGCCTGTTCTGCCTCACCTCTGCCACCTGTAAAGCTACTCCACCATGTGAAGGTAGACTGGAAAAGCCACTACAAGTCATGCAGCAGCCAGTAGCCCCTTTTCAAGGTTTTATGTATTCTCTTCGGCTGACTCTATCCATGAGGTTCCAAGCCTTTCCCAGCATCCAGATGGCCAGAGAGAGGATACCTGGTGCACATGTCAAGACTAATGCTTTCCCTTTACTCCACAGCTGGGTTACTTGTTTTGTCTCTGGTTGGACGTTGGTGCCAACAGCAGAAGAGCTGTCATATTTGCTTCAGCCTTTAGATGCCTCGTCATTTTCTGTGACTTTCCAATTACTATGTCATCTAGCATTTAAAATGACATGCTGGACAGGCAAGTCCAAAAGTAGATCCCAATTAGATGCCTAACTTCAGACAATTAGTGACAGCTCAAACTTTCTTACGCATCTGCTGCACTGTGTCCTTGGTTAGAAAACAATGTTTGAGAATTAACCTCACAAAAAAGGTCTGTTCCCCTTGGATTGGTTATCCAGTCCTATTCCTGTAGCCGCAGCAGCAATATGATAGAGAGCACTTACCCCTACTGACTACAGAACAGAGCCGGGAGAGAGAAGTATGACTGGTTCCTCCTTTTCCTTTACCCCCAGTTGCTGTCATCAAATGCCTTGAGAAGTACTGGGTTTCAGGATACTATTTTATCAGAAAAATCCTTACATGCTTGAAAAACCTGCTTCACCAAGAACCGGTGAAACCACCCAGAAGGAGACTGACTGCCCCAGTGATTCTTGGGGGCATCTCACTGCTGGTCTAAGAACTTCTGAAGGCTGTTGAAACAATAGCTGTTTCATGATCTATGGCTCTGTGCTCTTTCCATAGGCCAGTTCTGATTGTAATGCATACCAAGCCCATTTCAGAGCACCAAGTCCTGGAAACCCTTTGGTTTGGAGTACTCTTTACACAACTCTCCCCGTTGCATTTTGTAATCCCAAATGAAACATTTTGGGTAATCCCTTTGCTGTAGGCTTTAGCTGGGTCTTTGAGCAGCA